CCCGAGTCGATCGGCAGATCGGCTCTCGCCATTCCACATCCGACCGAGGCGCACCGCCGACCCCCATCCGCTTCCCTCCCGATAATTTTAAGCACTCTTTGACTCTCTTTTTAAAGTCCTTTTCATCTTTCCCTCGCGGTACTTGTTCGCTATCGGTCTCTCGCCCGTATTTAGCCTTGGACGAAATTTACTGCCCAATTTGGGCTGCATTCCCAAACAACCCGACTCGTTGACAGCGCCTCATGGTGCGACAAGGTCCGGGCACGACGGGGCTCTCACCCTCTCCGGCGCCCCCTTCCAGGGGACTTGGGCCCCGGTCCGCCGCTGAGGACGCTTCTCCAGACTACAATTCGAGCGCCGGGGGCGCCCGATTCTCTAGCTGGGCTCTTCCCGTTTCGCTCGCCGTTACTAGGGGAATCCTTGTTAGTTTCTTTTCCTCCGCTTATTAATATGCTTAAACTCAGCGGATAGTCCCGCCTGACCTGGGGTCGCGGTGCGAGCGTTCCCCAGAGGGGTACGCTGGGGGGTCCGTCAGCACGGGGCGCACAGCCAGACGAGACAGCGTCGCGTTTATTCAACCACCAACTCGTCCTCGCTGTTTGCCGCACGAGCTTCACATTTGGGCCAACCGCGGCGACCGAGCGGCGCGCGGGCGGGAAGCCATCATCCGCCCACATCAAGCAACGACCTTCGCGGGGAAGGAGGTTTTTGTGGGGCGACTGTGCGTGACACCCAGGCAGACGTGCCCTCAGCCGGATGGCTTGGGGCGCAACTTGCGTTCAAAGACTCTATGATTCGCGGGATTCTGCTATTCACACCAAGTATCGCATTTCGCTACGTTCTTCATCGATGCGAGAGCCGAGATATCCGTTGCCGAGAGTCGTTTTGTAATTCAGTGGATGGCGCAGCGCCCGCCGCTCACCGAGCACGGGTCGACGGGCGAACGCTCTTTCGTTCTTGTTCCTTGACGCTTTCCGCGTCGTGGTTTGTTTCGGGAGCGAGGCAGCGGCGAGAGGGTTATCTCGCCGCGACCGCGCGGGGGGCAATGGGGTTGCTAGGGCCCGCAGCACTCGAGTATCACAACCGATTCACGGGTCGTTCTGCTGTGCAAGTTTCGACAATGATCCTTCCGCAGTTACATCATATCTTAATATGATATTTAACAAAAATGAAAAACTATATTGATTATGTTTATCCCAAGGCACAATATGAATTATACATCGTA